TATTACAGGCGTGAGCCACCACGCCCAGCCCTTAAATGTATTTTTGTGTGAGTGTATGGTAAAAATCTTGGATCTGGAAGAAACCCAAAGATTACTCTTTTCAGTTATCTTTTTAAATAAACTCTTTATTTATCTCTTTAATAAACTCTTTTTAGTTATCATTTGTGTTTCTTGTTTGCAAAAGGTACCTAATTTATTCAAATTGTGCTTCATCCAGTGGGAGCTATTGAGAGTTGGCCACCCATAGAAAATTGAGGGAGGATTTTAGGAACTGCTGAAGGTTTCTGCCACATGCATGATTCTGATATACCCTGGAAGAATGGTCTGAGCCCTCCTGAAGGGACACAGAGTGTGGAATGCTAGCAGCACACAAAGGGTGGCAGAGCTTGCCCTGCACGTGACAGCACAGGTGCTGAGATGTGTCCCAGAAAGATGAGCAGGTAGAAACCTACCTGAGACATCCAACAGAAACATCCCTCTTAACTTCCTTCCTCCTTTAGTTTTTTGAATCAGTTTATTTGGTTGGGAAGTGTAAGCAAGGATAGTGTGCAGAGAAGTAGGAAAACTACTCCTCTTCTTCACCTGCTCTGCATTAGCACAACAGGACAACTCTCACTGAGCCTTCCTGTCCTGAAGATTTCTTTCTTCTTTTCTTTTTTCTTTTTTTTTTTTTTTTGAGATGGAATCTTGCTCTTTTGCCCAGGCTGGAGTGCAGTGGCGCAATCTAAGCTCACTGCAACCTCCAACTCCCAGGTTCAAGCAATTCTCCTGCCTCAGCCTCCTGAGTTGCAGGGATGACAGGTGCCTGCCACCACGCCTGGCTAATTTTTGTATTTTTAGTAGAGATGGGGTTTTGCTATGTTGGCCAGGCTGGTCTCGAACTCCTGACCCCAGGTGACCCACCCACCTTGGCCTCCAAATATGTTGGGATTACAGGGTGTATGCCACTATGCCCAGCATGTCCTGAAGTTTTCATAGTGAACCATCTTCCTGTATGTATAATGAGTGGGTTGTATTCATATCATGTGTGTGTTATACAGTGAGGTAGATTTCAGTTATATAGGAATATAGTTAATAACAGTGTATTCCTGAAAATTGCCAAGAGAGTGGATATAAAGTGTTCTCACCACCAAAATGATAACTGTGAGGTAATACATAAGTTAACTAGCTAGGTTTAATCATTCCACAGCATATATATACTTCAAAACATCATGTTATACACAATAAATACATACAGCTTTATCTGTCAATTTGAAGTTAAGGAAGAAAATAGATTGGATTTTCTTACACCTTTTAAATGATTAAATATTGTAAAAATAGAAAGCAATCACATGCGAGAAACATTTACTACTGTTGGTGATAAAAGTACAGGGAGAATGTAATGCACTTTGGAGTCATGAAGATTCTCTGGATGCTGCCACTGCATCTGCTAGCGCCGTGGCATACTGAGGGAAAATGGCACTGTCTTCCGATGCTATGTACAGCAAGGGATAGCACCCTGTTTTCCCCGCTAGAGCTACCATCACAGGCATTTGCTCATGTTATAGCCTTCCAATAACTAATATGTTGAAAACACCAAGACACCAGTTAAGGTCTTTACAAAGCGAGATGGAATTGGAAAAAAAAGAACAAAAGGCCAGGCACAGTGGCTCACACCTGTAATCCCAGCACTTTGAGAGGCCAAGGCGGGTGGATCATGAGGTCAGGAGTTCGTGACCAGCCTGGCCAATATGGTAAAACTCCATCTCCACTAAAAATACAAAAAAAATTAGCCGTGTGTGGTGGTGTGTGCCTGTAGTCCCAGCTACTGGGGAGGCTGAGGCAGAAGAATCGCTTGAACCCTGGAGGCAGAGGTTGCAGTGAGCCGAGATCATGCCACCGCACTCCAGCCTGGACAACAGAGAGAGATTCCATTCTTTAAAAAAAAAAAAAAAAAAAGAAAAGGAAAGGAAAGAAAAGAAAAGAATATGAATAGTGACATCACGTTAAAAAGTAATAATAAACTTTAGCCTTGTGGCCTTTTTTTGGCACATTTTTCCCGCTAATTCTCATGCATCATCCCTGTTCTCTCTCTTCTCTGTCTTTTCTTCATCCAGTAATAGAGAAAGAGGACTTAGAAGGAACCCAATCCAGTACTTCCTAGGATTGGAAGGAAGCCGCCTTATTTCATGTATAAGTGGCACCATCTTGACTATAGGAAGAGAGATAGCATGAAGCCTTTCAGATCTAAACTAGAAAGCTTTCAAACGTGGTAGTTTGTTGAGTTATTCTCTCTCTGGAATGACTGATGTAGAGATGGTGAGAAATCAGAGTGGGCGATTTTAGACATTTCCCTTTACCCTACTTCATTCCCGCTCTCTACAGAGCCTTGTTTCTGTTCTTCACCTTATTTCTTTGAGCAAGAGTAAAGCCTCTGATTATGAAAACACACAGTCCATAAATTGCCAGAAAACACATTTTCTTGCACTGAAAGATTTGTTTTCTGGAAAATCTCATAAACACCATCAAGGAAAGTTTCGGAAGAAGGTCAAATGTCCTTCAAAATGCTATTTCCCTGTCACCGTTCACATCTTAGTATGACTGACATCTGTTCTCAGCTCTGATGGGGAGGGATGGACAGAGACAGCAGCACTGTCCCCTGTGGCCTGGGGTTGCCTGTGGGGACGCCCACCCAAGAAGCAGGCTGGAGAGAAGCACCAAGGGGTTAGCCATTCCCAGGATGATCTTTTGTCGGGACTCTAATGTTTTTCTCTCTCCTGTAGGGGGTGACAGGTGCTTTGACAGTTTTGATGAAAGATGCAATAAAACCAAACCTGATGCAGACCCTGGAAGTAAGTGGTTTTCTTCTTATAGTAATTGTTTGTATTAACTGAATTGCCACACAGTGTGAACATTTTTAGCCAATATGAGGCAGGCATAGAGCACACCTGGGGCAGCAACGTGCTTTACAATCTCAGAAAGAGTGAGGATCTGGTTAGGAACCTGTATTAGTCCATTTTGACATTGCTACAGGGAACTACCTGAGACTGGGTAATTTATGAAGAAGCATCAGAATAACTTCTTGGCCAACCAAAAAAAAAAAAGTTTAAAGTATATTCATAGCTTCTTTAATATGAGTTATGTCTTGGCTTGATTGACCCGAGTAGAAACTTAGAAAGTCAATGTCTGAGGCAGGGCGTGGTGGCTCACGCCTGTAATCCCAGCTCCTTGGGAGGCCAGGGTGGGCAAATCATGAGGTCGGGAGTTCAAGACCAGACTGAGCAATATGATGAATCCCCGTCTCTACTGAAAATACAAACAAATTAGCCGGGTGTGGTAGCACGCGCCTGTAGTCCCACCTACTCTGGAGGCTGAAGCAGGAGAATCGCTTGAACCTGGGAGGCAGAGGTTGCAGTGAGCTGAGATTGCGCCACTGCACTCCAGCCTGGGCAACAGAGCGAGACTCCATCTCAGAAAAAAAAAAGAAAGAAAAAGAAAAAAAAAAAGAATGTCAACGTCTGTCTAACATTTCAATAGGTTGTATGGCCATGTTTACAATACAGTTTCTGTTTTCCCTTAATCTCTCATCATCATTGAGTTGTGGATTTTTTGGTTTGCTTTTGTATTGTTGTTTATTTGTTTCCAAGCAAAATACAGTAAATGCCAAGAAATGCTTTCCAGGAAAGCATACTGCATTCCACTGTATAAGGATATTGTTTTTGTACATGACGTGCCCTGCTGTTGTCTTCACTGAACTTAAATTTTTTGTCACGTTATCTCCATTTCAATCTGGTTTTCTAGTCATACTCCTTTGATTTAGTAATTGTCTAATTCCCGACTCCTAGCTAGTGAGACCTCAGGGTTTGGGCCCAAACCCCAAACAAAGAGGCAGTTTCTGGGCAAATTGAGTAGAGACTAATGGAAGGGTAGGGGTAGGGAACTAGGGAGACAGTGATGTCCTGGTGAGTGTTCAACAGTCAGCACTCTGGGGAAAGAATTCCTGGGTTATAGTATTTGCCAGTTTCCATGCTATAAATGATCCCACCATGGCCAGTCCTCTGGCTCCCTTCCATCTCAGTAAATAAACATGGGAATCGGGGGGAAATTTGCACCATCAAGTGGTACAAATGGGCTATTTGTCCTCAAGCTGCAGTGGGACAAAGGGAGGTGGTGGAGGTGACCAGAAGGCAAGTATGTTGGGGGAACGCAGCAGCAAGGCAGCGGAATATCCATCCGTTTATTCATTCATTCAGCTGATAGAAAGCTGAGTTTGAATGGTCGCTGTGTCATGTACTAACCATGACTTGGGATAAGTTATTTTGTATTTCAGCCTCAATTTTCTCCCGTGTAAAATGGTGAAAGTAGCAACAACTAACCCGACAGTGAAGATTAAATATTTATTTAAAGCATCACATGGACCAGTACAGTATAGTAGGGGCAAAGAACACAGCAGAGAAATAACTATTCAACGTCCCTGCCATCTTGAAGCCTCCACTCCAGTGAAGGAGGCAGGCCAAAGGCAAGTCAAGAAACACACAGCATGTTAGTTGGTGGTAAGGTCTGGAGAAGAAAAATCAGATGCCTTGAGGGACACAGTGATGTGGGGTGTGTGTGTCTGTGCCTGCCCGCCTGTTAAAGCAGTACCAGCACAGAGCTGAGTAAACCAAGGGGGTGAGCCATGCATGCGTCTTGATGAGCATTTGGACAGAGGGTTACCTTTAGTGCAGAGGCCTTGGGCAGCAATGTGTTTTGCAATCTCAGACAGAAAGAACCAAGGATCTGATTAGGAACCCGTATTGGTTTGTTCTCACATTACTGTAAGGAACTACCTGAGACTGGGTAATTTATGAGGAACATTGGTTTAATTGGCTCACAGTTCTGTAGGCTGTACAGGAAGCATGGCTGGGGAGGCCTCAGGAAACTTATAATCATGGTGGGAGGCAAACGGGAAGCAGACAGGTCTTCACATGGCAGAGCAGGAGAGAGAGCGAGGGAGGAAGTGCTACACAGTTTTAAACAACTAGATCTCATGAGGACTCACTCACAAGCATGAGAACAGCAAGGGGGAAACTCACTCCCAGGATCCAGTCACCTCCCCCCAGGCCCTTCCTCCAACACTGAAGGTTATAATTCGACATGAGATTTGGGTGGGGACACAGAGCCAAACCATATCAGAACCAATATGACAGAAATGGGGGGACTGGCCAGGCACGGTGGCTCACGCTTGTAATCCCAGCACTTTGGGAGGCCAAGGCGGGCAGATCCCTTGAGGTCAGGAGCCTCAAGACCAGCCTGGCCAACATGGTGAATCCCGTCTCTACTAAAAATACAAAATAAATTAGCTGGGCATGGTGGCGGGCACCTGTAATCCCAGCTACTTGGGAGGCTGAGGCAGGAGAATCACTTGAACAGGAGGCGAAGGTTACGGTGAACTGAGTTTGCACCACTGCACTCCAGCGTGGGCGACAGAGCAAGACTCTGTCTTTTAAAAAAAGAGAATAGAAAGACATGGGGGGACCATTTCTGAAGGTGTCCAGTGAGGGTGCAGCCTGAAGGTGTCCCCTGAGCTGAGGAAGGGAGGACTGAACACCTTTGAACAGGTGTCTGCAGCCCCGGGGGAGGGGTGCAGGATGCGTAGGTGCCAAGGCCACGCCGTCCTGCAGCAGGTTGTCCTTCCCATCTTTCCTCTCCCCGATCCTTCTGCCAGCAGGCACGTGTCCTCAAAGGTAGGCCATCTTAAAAAGCAAACAAGAACATTTCAAAAACCTCCCGCCCTATTGCATCCTCGTCTAGCTCCTGCCTGGCTCTTGTCTGTCATTGGGGTCCCCATGTTAACTGACCTCGGGTTTCACCTCTCCTGACTGCCCTTGTCCAGGTCACTTGTACCTCGGAGACACCAAGTCTTTGTTGCTCTGCCCTCCTCAGAGAAGCTCAGCAGTTTGACACAGCTGCCCTTGTCTTCCTTCGGGAGCATCTGGTTCCTCTGGCATCTGGGGTCCCTTCCTCCCCAGGCCTGCTCACTGCTCCTCCTCTGCTTTGCTGGCTTCTCTGATGACCCTTCACCTTTCTCACCCCGTTCTCCTCCAGGATTAGCCGGGTGATGACTCCCAAAGTCTTGTTTGGAATATCATGCACCTGGAATTTCAGACTTGCAGGTATAGTTACCAGGAGCCATGTGGGTGGGTAAAAGCCATTTCAAACTCATACATAAACCAGGACCCACCTCCTACTTCCTTCCAGCTTGCTACTTCCCTGAAACCTACCCAGTCATTCAAGGCAGAAACCCGGGGATGATCCTGAGGCCTGTTTTCCCTTCCCCACTTCCTGTCTCCATTCCTGCCAAGTCGTCCTTGGTTACATGACTCTGCCCTGTCCACGGCGCTCGATGCCTCCCTCCTTCCGGCTTCAGCCGCCAGCCTGCCCCACCTGCAGCAGTGCAGCAGCCTCCCAACTAGTCTCTCGGCTGCTACTCTTCTTCCCAAATACTCTCTCTCCTCAGCAGTCATAGAGACTGAAACCTAATCAAGCCCTGTTGCCTTCCTGCTTCGAGTTCTTCCGTGTTTCCTTCCTGGTCTGAAAAGCCCCTGGGATCTGGCCCTCGTCCCTCCCTCCCTTTTCCTCATCTCTCATCCTCTGGGGGCCCTTTGCATGGCTGACACCACTACCTGGGCCACTTCCTGATACTCTCATGTCCAGCTCCTTTGCCTCCCTCAGGTCTCATGTCATGTAAGCATCAACTGCTCAGAGAAGCCACAGGAATATACAACCCCCATCCGTCTGCTGTCATTGCAGTGCATAGCACAGAATGCTGAGAGTTTCCTATTTCCTTGTCCATGTTCTGTATTTCTCCTCCCACAGGGATGAGAGCGGGACCTTTTCCATCCTGTTCACCACATATCTCCAGCTTCTAGAAAGTGCCTGACACCTATTAGAGGCTCAGTAAAGACTTGTTGATTAATTAAGTGAATGCTTATTATTTTTACTACATTCTCCTAAAAATACACATTTATTAATAAATAACTGAATAAGAGAGAAAAATTATGAAGTGATGTGATATTGCTTCATAACACTTCTCCCTCAAAGATGAATACTTATTAGT